CGCGCGCAACAAGTTCGACGCTGTCGCTCGTAAAACAAACCAGAGCCACGGTAATTAAATGCCTGTCGATTTTTCCGCGGTTGTTGCTGGTATTTCGGCGAGCATAAGGGAATCGTGCGACATGTATAGATTGGCGGATTTTTATGGACATAATTTAAAGCATGAAATCTAAATGGAGATTCGTTTTAACAAATAAAAATCGCAACGAGTATTATACTTTCTAGCGTATTCTATTCGACTGTATTCTTTCTGGTTTTTCCACCATTAAATTTCCTATAAATGCGCGAAAATCCGCGATCCAGTCGTGTATTTTTTCCACACGAATTTCCTCGGTTTTTCGATAAAGCTTTTTCGATTTCTTGCCGGAGTCCTTCGATGTTCCGCGCGTAACGATGAATTTCGTGTAGTTTTAGTCGGTTCGAGAAACGGAAGATGATTTATGGATGAACGTAGGAAATTTGTATGGCCGAGAAAGAATTTTAGAATTTGAGAAGGAGGTATATTTTGATCGAATATATCGAAGGCTTGTTTGGTTGAAAACAATTTCGAAATTTAAGAAGCGACGGTGTATCAGTTTGAAGTAGAATCTTTAGACGAACGCACTGAGAGTTTAGTTTGGCTAAAATAATCTGAACATTCGGCCAGTGAACTTGAGAATAGAATTTTGTGTCGGATTTTTCAATTTGAAAAGGACCTGTGTTTAAATTTCTGCGTTTGCAAACCGCATTGAAAGCTTATCCCGAACAATATTATTTTCCAGTCTAACAGATGATTCACCTAAATGCGAGAATAGAAGTTTCACACGGAGGAATTAATTTGTCCAACGCAATTTTGGAACCGAGAAAACGATTGTGTTTAAATTCGAGAATAGAAGATTCTGTGAAACGCGTTGCAAGCTTTTTTAAGGAGAGAAGATTCACTTCGGTGAATAGCGATTTGATTTCTTTGCGAATTTCGAATTTTAAACTACGATTATTATGAACTGCAGGCTCGTATGAAAGTTTTATGGAAAGTTTCTCGGAACTTGTGGAGTTTCCTGCCGTATGAATCTCAAAATTGCCAACTTTGGCGCTCGAACAATGCTTTCTGTCAGATCTCTTCACACACTAATACTAAACTTCGAATATTTCTCAGAAACCTACGAAAACGAAAGCAAGCCGCCTGTACAGCGAATTCTACATCCGCCAAAAATCCAATTTTCTTCCCAACTTACCAAAAAACTAACTGCTCTTGTCGACTGAAACTTCACCGAGAGAATCAAACAGAAACTCATCCACGTCTCATTTTGCAACTCGCGTGGCATGTTCGCGACCGATTCAAGAAATTCCACCGCATAGTTAGATCGAATTTCAAGTTTGAGCAACTTGCTCGCTGAATTCTAGCCGCGAGACTAGTATTCGAAACTATTCTTAAGGAGATTCTAGCATTCGCGTGTTGTCGTCCAGTGAAACGAAAATCTCCTACTCGTCGCTACTTGAACCCCGAATTAAACACTCGCTGCCACTGTGTTTTAACGTCTCAATTTAGATTCTACCGGTAGCCAGAAGCAAGATCTACGAGGTGTATTTGTCGCAACATCTGATTCATCCGATCAACGTGTCTTTTTGCGCTCGAACACGATGTTTATCAGATTCTACGATTCGCTTATCAACGAAACAACCTGTTCTCGCGTTGGACATGTCGAAAGATTCTCAACTGGAAGCTAAAATACGTTTAGCCGAGAGATTGACGCGTGATCCATGTTTTTCGTCCGTTTGTTTTAATAGTTTTTTGTTGTATAATTACTTGTGTGAATGGTTACCGAGGATCTGATCAGATCCAGGCAGTTTGTGTAAGCTGTGTTTGTATAAGATGTTGCTTGTTTCGCAAAACGATTAACCAGCAGCGGATGAACACGATGTTGAGTTAAATGGCGATCTACCGCGAAGAATGAAACGTTTACTCTTCGATTTTGTCGAAGATAAACGTACTTATGTAGATGGCTTAGCAATGATTCGTGCGTTGTTAACGAAATTACGATTTTATTTAGTATTGTTTCATAAAAGTAGGTTCCTCCTTATCTATCTGTAGCCTGTATTATATCGGGAATATTGTAAAATAAATCTAAAAATTGTACAGTATACTAATTTAGTACTGTACTTTAGAAAATTAAATTTTCTTTCAAAAACTTGTTTATTATATAGTAGCAACTGTGCGTATGATTCGCAAGATGTTCGCAAATTAACAGTTCTATCTATCATTCGTTCTCTTTTCCACGTATTTGGACTTCCAGGAAAGACTTATCGTACTCTATCAAACCTAAAACACAGAGAACTTGGAACACAAGTTGTACGGTTTAAAGAAACTAACGATTCTGTTCTGTAGTTTCTTGCAGAGAAGACTTCATCCCTTTGTATCGACTCAAAATTCTTATTTGGACCAAGTTTTGTGTAATATTAATAATCTAACGATTGTATATAACACATTTTTCATGTAACACCTATTGTCATTTCAAAAAGGACACCGACCTTCCTGTTTCAACTAACCTTTTCACTTATCATATTCGAAACTCTAAGCGCGACTTGTACGACATTAACAAGCTATTGTCACCTGCTGTCTATTATTTTCTTCCGAACAAGACTATTGATTTAAAATATCTACGTGTTACACTCAGAACTTGAAACATTAACAAACTCTTTACATCCGTTGTGTTTCAGAAAATATCCTAACTTTCTCTATCGACTTAGAACGTTTAATTATTTCCGGAAAAATTCCAAGAAGTTTCAAAGAATGAATTTTTGTCGAATCTACTGTCTTCTAAAAGATACTCCGATCTTAAAATCAAGCACATTTCCTACAACGTTAACAAATCAGACATTTCTCTCTTCTTGCAGAAGAGACTTCAACCTTCCTCTGACAACATAAAACATATTGTTGTACTGACAACTTGAAGCATAATTCCTACGATATTAACAAACTCTTGCCACCTACCGTCTTCTAGAAAATAATCTAACCTTCTCTATCAACTGAAAACCTTTAGTCATCGAACTGAAGTTCAACGCGAACAAACAAAATTAATTCCTGCAACTTTAACAAACTCTTCCCACCTACTGTTCTCCAGAAACTATTCCAACCTTCTTCATCAACTTCGAACCCTCACCTACTCCATCGAAGTACAACATCACCAAAGCAAATTTTCCTCCTTTTCTCTAACAACCGAAACATCTATTTGTTACACTGCGTTACACCTAAAGCTGTATCAATTGCACTGCAACCTACGAATCCTAAAACCGTGCACCTAAACCTGCAAGATTTACACATTCCACGTGATTTACATCTTCCACGTCGTCGCTACTTCCTTCCGAGCCTCGGATCACTTCCTATCGCTCGTATTACACCGAAAGCTCGGCTACGTGTAATCACAAAGCTTGATCCTGGCCGAATCACGAGACACTGTAGCTTTGGAAACCGGGAAACCGAGTGTAATCTGTCATATGTCTCACCTGGCGGCGTGATGCCGTGAGGATTGAGATGCGGATGATGATGCGGGCTGCTGAGGATCCCTTTTCCCTGTAGATGATGCGCCGTCGGTCCAGGCGAACTCGTGGCTGGCAGATGCGCCGCCGGATTGTAGAATCCAGC